GAACCGCCGAACTGCAGATAACAGTCAGCTGAAGTGGCCTGCAGTGCTGCACCCTAACCACTGCACCACCTCAGCTCTTTTATTGCACTGAGCATGCGGACACATGCGGGAACCTGCAGTAGTGCCTGTTGGAACCCACCCCTTTCTAACTTCTACTCGTCTTTAATTATGAGAGTGTACCATCATCCCCTTTCCTCCAAGGGCTCCATTTCAATATTTATATAGATATTTTTAACATGCTGTTTATATTTTGTAAACATTTCTTGTAGACATAACACAAAATACGGTCAACATTTTTTGGGGGGGAGGGGGAATAAAATAAAATCACATTTAATTTTGCGCAGGAGTAAACTTTCTCCGTTCCATTTCTAATATTGATGCTTTTAGTCGTACTGTTTTGCTTGCTTTTTTAAAAAAAAAAAGTACACTGGAACGAAGCTTGTAAATGAAGGAATTTGTTGCTGCTGACTGTTTGATGGGTAAGCAGTTCCTTGCCTAGCTTTTCAGCTGGAAATTATGGTGCATTAATATTTCCCAAGCATAGTAAAACCTTTACTAATGGGACAGCAAATGATCAATTGGCAGCAACAATCTAGTCTAGATCATAAAGGCAACATATACAGAAAAGTTGAGGAAAAAAAAGAATCAGAAACAGAATAAAGCTGGAAGGGACACTGGAGGTCTTCTAGTCTAACTCCTTACTCAAGCAGGAGATCCTATACCATTTCAGACAAGTGACTGTCCAGGCTCTTCTGAAAATGCTCCAGTGATGTAGAACCCACAACTTCTGAAGGCAACTTCTGTTCCACTGGTTAATTGTTCTCACTGTTAGGAAGTTTCCCCTTAATTCCAGGTTGCTCTTCTCCTTGATTAGTTTACATCCATTGTTTCTTGTCCTGCCCTCTGGTGCTTTGGAAAATCCATTGGCCCCCTCCTCTTTGTGGAAGCCCCTCAAATACTGGAATGCTGCTATCATGTCCCCCCCCCCCAGTCCTTCTTTTCCTTAGAATAGCCAAACCAAAATCCTGCAATCATTCTTCATATGTTTTAGTCTCCAGGCCTCTAATTATCTTAGTTGCTCTTTGTTGTTCTTTTTCCAAAGTCTCAACATCTTTGACCAAAACTGGAGACAGAGACAGAGAGAAAGATGGACTCATACTTTCTGGAGATTGTGCAGAAGCTATCATTGCTGGACAATCTTTCCCGGAAGACGGATGTCCAATCATCTCTCCCTTCTCCAGTGGTGAGATTCAACCAGTTCGCAACTATTCGGGAGATTATTATTAACTTTCTAAGCAGTTCAGAAAACTGGTTGTTGGAAGAAATCTCATTTTTTGTTTTTCATTTTACAGGGCTAATCCTGTAAGGAAGGCAGGAAGGAAACATTCTGGTATTGTTTTTAGCCTAATCTTTATTGCCTTGCTTACACCTATTACATTATAACAGCCAAAATGAAGCGCCTATCAATGTGAGTGACATTAGCAATAGCAATAGCAGTTAGACTTATATACTGCTTCATAGGGCTTTCAGCCCTTTCTAAGTGGTTTACAGAGTGAGCATATCGCCCCCACAGTCTGGGTCCTCCTT